CAGAAGAGGAAAGGGTCCCACTGTCTCCACAGCCAAGCTGTCTGCAGATGGTGGACAAGGTCATGGCTTCCATGGGGCTGTCGCAGACACTGCCCCAGGTCCCATTGTAGAAAACTTCCAGCCACCCAGCACACTCCTGGTCATCGCTCACCATCCTGAGGGCCACGAACTCTAAAAATGAAAGAGGGGGGAAGAAGGCACAGTGAACATTCTCAGTGCTCTGGGTTTCTTTCTTTCCCAGAGATTGTGAACTCTCATCGCTGACTCTGCTGAGGAAGCACCTCAGCAAGACTGAAATTTGTCTCTCTTTTCCTTGACTTTGCTTGTTTTTGAAATAGACAGTTTCCAACACAATGATGCATTAGAATATGAACTGAGAGGAACACCAACCTGGACACTGCACAGAGGGAAAGCTGAATCTTGATTACTGACAGAACTTCTGACAGAGTATGTGAAAGGGAGTGTGGATAGTGGGTGGTAGGCAGAATAATGGACCCCAAAGAGGTCTACAACCTACTCTGTGGAGCCTGTGAACATGTTACATTTTATGGCAAAAGGGACTGTATAATTATTATTAAGATAAGAACCTTGGGATGGTGAATTAACCAGGGATGTTGTGGACTAACCAGGTGAGATCTGTCTAATTCACATCCTTGTGCCTGCTCTCCTTAAAAATGGATAAAGTTTCCAGTCTTCAGTAAGAGGGAAATGTGGTTAAGGGATAATGGTCAGAGGAAGGCAATGTTGTGTGTTTGAAGAAAAAGAAAGGGAGTTAGGAGGCAAGCAATGCATGCTTGCTTTACAAACTAGAAAAGGCAGGGGAAAGAAATCTTTCCCAGAGTCTCCAGAAAGATAGCAGCCCTGTTGACACCTTGATGTCAGCCCATGGAGACCATTGTTGGGCTTCTAAAACATAGAACTGTAAAACAATAGATTTCTGTTGTTTTAAACACTAAATATGTGGTAATTCATTACAACATCCATAGAATTTCAAGGTTTTACTACCATAGGTAACTGAAGAGTACGCCCTGCTTTCACATGGAAGCTCTGTAGGAAATGGCTCTGCGAGTCGGTATTGCTGAGAAGGAAGGAGCAGAGCCTCAGCTGCTGCAGGAGCAAATAAAACACAATCTTCCAATCTGCTAGAAAGAAGGCACTGTGCAAGGAAGCTTCCTTCTCCTCTGGCCCTTCCAGCAACACCCCTTCAGGGCTCAGACTCCATCCTCAAGAGCCCCCACTTCCTCCCACAGCCTGTGGACAAAGTGCGGCACACACCTGAGCAGATGACCCCTGCGTCCTCCTTGTGCCAGCAATTGTGCTGCCCCCAGCCCAGGGAAGGGCACTTCCACAGGTGGGACTCCTTTCCCGTGCAGTTCACGTCATCCAGCCAGATGGGGTCTGATCCCTGCCCGAAGTGAGCAGAGACTGTGGCATTGAGGGCGTTCCCACAGCCCAGCTGTCTGCACACCACGTGGGCATCGTTCAGGTCCCAGCTGTCATCACAGATGGTGCCCCAGGAGCCCTGGTGAAGGATCTCCACTCTGCCAGCACAGCGATTACCACCATTCACCAGACGGAGCTGTCTGCTCTCTGAGGAGAGAGAGTCATGCCAGTGGGGCTCCTACCAGGGAGAGAGAAGGGCTTTCTGGTCCTGTGGGACCCCTCACCTGAGCAGTTGACAGTGCTCTCCTCTGAGGCTGCAGAGCCTGCTGGTTCAGACATGGAGTCATCACACTGGGGCAGCGCCTGGCTTTGGTTTCCTACAGAAACACCTCAGAGGATTAGTAGAGTTGAAGAACAGGAGATGGAATTAAACTAAATAGTATTTATTATTTAAAATATACTACTGAGGACAGAAAAAGGGCCACAGGTTAAACCTGACATGGTCAAGAGACTGAAAACAACCATATAAGATGCTGTGAACATAAAAAACAATAATAACTAAGGTGGGCCATGGAGGGAAGTCACATCTTTAGCCTGAAGCTTCCTTCATAAAGTCAATCTTCACCTTCAGTGACCCTTCTATTGTCTTTTTGCACCTAAGATTACATCCTTGTAATGTCAGTAATCCCTTTTTCTGGACCAGAGCAGGGAAGTACAGAATCTTTCATTATTATTTTTGTCCCTTGATTTACATCTCTATGTGAACTATTTACTATCCTGTACCCACCTACATGAAAGAAGTACCTGTGTCTCCAATTTACTTTTATCTAATCCCAGAGATTTCCTCGCTTTGCTTCTCCCACCCCCTTAATCTACCACCAATGGATTTCATGTAACCCTCCTCCTTTGATTCTAAAATAAGCTGTAAACCACCATTTTGTGGAGATTTTTTTCAGTCAGTTGAGATTTTGCTTCCTGGCAATTGTCGTCAGTTTGGCTCAAATAAACTCTTAAAAGCTTTCTCTTAGGCTGGATGGTTTTTGTCGACACTATAATTATATGACTTAACAAATATGCACCTGAAAACTGCAAAATACACATTATTCTCAAGGGTATGTAGGCCATTTACCAAGACTGATTTTATGCTATAGCAAATATAAGTTCCCCCAATTTTTCAAAGGAAAAAGTAATAAAAAATAATTTTTGACTGCAGTAGAATTAAGCTAGAAACAAACGAAATTAGTACAATCAACTGCATGAGGTGCACTTTTAGTGCAATAAAATACACATATATTAAAAGTACATTCTCATGTTTTGACAAATGTATATATCTATATAATCTACCACCTCAATATAGATACAGCACGAATATGAACTCAAAAAGTTCCCATTTGTCTTGGCAACCAATATATCCTCCACCCCACAACCTCAATCCTAGGCACACATTGATCTGCCTTCTGTCACATAGTTTAGTTTAAGTCTTCTAGAAAGGAATGAAATCATATAATATGTATCCCTTTTTGTATGGTTTCCTTTGCCTCAGCATGTTTTTGAGATTTATTTGTGTAGTTACATTTATCAGTTGTTTGTCCTATTCATGTCTGAATATACTACAATTTGTTTATTCATTCTTCTGTTAATAGAAATTTGAGCTGTTTACACTTTTTATTTTTGTTAATAAAGTTTCTATAAACATTGATGCTCAAATCTTTTTGTGGACCTAGGTTTTTATATCTCTCAAGTAAATGTCTAGTAGTAGAATTGTTGGGTAACATTTTAAGTGAATGTTTAACTAAAAAAATTTTTTTCCTGGGTTTTTCAAAGTGTTTGTATCCTTTTACATTTCTTCCCAGCAAAATATGAAACCTTTAGTTGCTTCACATCCTTGCCAAAACTTGGAATGGTAAGTTTTTTTTTGTTTTTTGTTTTTTTTTAGCTGAGCCATCCTGCCACCTGTTGGCAGCTCAGTAGCAGCTCAGCTCGGGCCAGGACTCGAACCGCTGTTGCTCAGAGCTTGCACTCTTGAATGAGCTCTTGACCAACTGAGCCACTCAGCCAGCCCTGGAATGGTTAGTCTTAATTTTAGTCATTCTAGCTAGTGAAGTGGTATTTCTGCTTACACTTTAATTTGAATTTCCTTGGTGACTAATGATGTTGAGTAAGTGGATAGAAAAGGGGCCACAGGTTAAACCTGACAAGCTCAGGAGACTGAAAATAACCACATAAGATGGCGTGAGCATAAAAAAAATTCATAACTAAGTGGGCCATGGCAGAAAGTCACACATTAACTTCCTTCATTAAGTTAATCTGTGCCTTTTCAGTGGACCTGTTATCTTTTTGTACCTAAGATAACATCTTTAATCATTTTTCTGGACCACAGCAGGAAGCTGCAAAATTCCTCATTATCATGCTTTCCTCCTGATTACCATCTCTATGTGCTGTAAAAAGCAAACTGTTAGCTATCCTGCACCCACCTATGTAAAAAAAGTACCTGTCTCNATAGAACTAAAGACAAAATAGTGATTTAGAGGAATCCTAGAGAAGAGAGAAGACAAGGAAGAGAAGGAGGAAGAAGAGGAGGAGGAGGAGGAATGAAGAGACAGAAAGAGACAGAGAGAAAGCCACAGAAACAATATTTGAAGAGATAATGGTTGAGAATTTTAAAAATGGGTGAATTATAACTCACATATACAAGAAGCTCAAAGAAGGCTAAGAAATATATAAAAAAACCCCACATCTAGTAAAGCAGCTAAAAATCAAGGAGAAGAGAAAAATCTGGAATAATAACAAATGTGTCTAATATAAAGAAGGCAAAAAAAAAGAGAGAGAAAAAGGGATGTAAAACAGGTGGGTCAATTAAAAATAAGTGGTAGATGCTAACCCAACAATATTAGTAACTGCATTTAAAGTAAAAGGATTAGCTACTTCAAGTAAAAGCCAATCTAGATAAAAAACAAAATTCAAGTAAATGTTATATACAAGATACTCACCTTATATATGAGGACAAAGAAAGGTTGAAAGTAAAATGATGGAAAAAGTGTATTTAAATACTATATAAACACTAACCATAAGTCAACAGGAGTATCAATATCACAAAAAGTATACTTTAAGGTAAGATTCACTAATTGAGTTAAAAAGAGAATTTTCATGATTATAACAGGATGAGATCTTAATAAAGATATTATAAATATCAAAATCAACCATTATTAACATGGCCCAAACCCAAGGAACTGGAAGTTTCAAGACATAACAAGGAGTGAAGAACAGAACTTTTTGCTCTTGTTGAGAGTAGAATTTCCCAAAGAAGAGAGAGACTTCTGACTGTAAGGGCTTGAAATAAAAGAGAAAACATGGGTTAGGGAAGGGATAGAGAGGTGAGGAGCATTGCAAAAGCAGCCAGAGACCAAGGCCCATACCTAGAAGAGCTGGTTTTCTAGTCACGTGGCTAGATTATTCTCATTTCAGGAGCTCACAATTGATACCTTGAGTCAGGAGCCTAATAATGGAGGCCAGATTTCATGTAGGATCTGAGGGAACTACAGGGAGAAAATTCACCATAAGGACATTGATTCTTCCTAAATAGCAGATCCTCTAGG